TTTGTGTGTGTGTGTGTGTGTGTGTGTGTGTGTGTGTGTGTGTGTGTGTGTGTGTGTGTGTGTGTGTGTGTGTGTGTGTGTGTGTGTGGTCTCTGGAGGGTTGTTAATAAAGCTGAGACAGATGTAAAGCACTTTTAGTACGTCTTATGACTGCTTTTGCACGTTTGAAGGTTGGGGTCATCTCGCTTTTCTTTTTGACAACTAGTAGTTTTTTTTAATTATTTACAAATACACTAGTGTGACTATGAAGTGGGGCAGTGAACACAGCGAATGAAGAGCCATAAACTAAAGAAAGAGTGTGATACTATATAAAAGTGTGTGAACGACAAGCGGCGTGAGAGGTGCAGGCGCAAAAGGAGAGTGAAAGTGAGGAAAACGAGGGAAGGTTTATATATTCAAAAGTACGTGCATCGAGTTAGAAAGTGAACCGTAAAATCCTATCAAGTTGCATGGTAATTGCATGTTACCCTTCCATCATTTCATCAACCCCCACCATGAATCACAGGCCAGTTCTTTGCTCGTAGTAGTTTGGGGGGGACAACGGATCCTGCAGGGACCACCCCATGCCATTTAATCTGTCCCTGCCCACAGATAACAGAAGGCAGATGGTCCTGCCAGAGCCCAGGGAGACAGAAGATAGCTAATACAATGTGCAGACAGATAGCACACAAAACTCAACCTGTCCCCCTGAAACTGAGCCTGCATCAACTTCTAAATAAGGGGAACAAATGAAGTGGAAAAACAGACAGAAAAAGAAAAGCATAAAGAGGAAGAAAAAGATAAACAGAGCCGAGCTCAAGTATCTTTAATTAAAACTCAAGCAGTATCCAGAATAAATGCAGTCAGTTGACAGTCTGGGATAAACATAATGGAAAGAGGAAACTCGTATAAACAAAAATAACCACAAAAAAAAGAGCAGAGAGTGAGCAGGACCATCAAAGTCATGAGCTCCTGTGTATTTATTTATTGAGGGTGGTAGTTAAGTTCACTAAGCTCCCCCTCGCTCTAAGACCCAGCCTTTTCGCCTTATGAAAATTCAATTGGCCATAATTTGCTGAGGAGCCGTATGCATATTTTATCAGCGGGTGCGTTTTGAAGAAACAAGCCCGCCAAGCTTTTTTTGTGTCTTCATCTTTATCAAGATTGAATGAGGGGACGTGTGAGAGGGGCTGTGAGGTTGTGCAGCCATCTGCTAATATGTGCCACACTGGGCATTTGACATGGGAGCTAAAGTAAACACCAATCAGCTGACATATGTCTGACTGAAGCACAGAGAGAAATCCATTGTGACCTTGTTGCCTGACTAGAATGTTTTTCTCTTTTGATTCTAACCATCTCTTTTCTAGTTTCACTTTCTCCATCTCTCCTCTCTCCATCTTCTTCCCTCTAATTACTCTAGGATCCAACATCCTCCTCTTCTCGCTCTCCATTTCCACAGCCCTCCCTTCCTCTCTTCCCTCTCATTTCAATCAGTTTTTCTCCCTCTGCATGTCTCTCAGTTAAAGCTTTATGGGTCGTTCACTCCCCTCTTTCTTTGCAAGGATAATGAGCAGGCGCCTCTGTGTGACTTTGTAGCTGTGCGACGATCTGTGAGTTTGAATCTCGGAGCGTCCCGGGGCCCAAAAGACTCAGATGTACCTTCTGTAGCTGCCTCCGTGGTTCCACTGCTGCTGTCATCTGATCTATGGGGCACAGCACTGACATAATACACCTTGTTAGGGGAAGGCGGGGAGTGTGTTGGCGAAGGCTGTGTGACTTTGAACAAATGTGTTTTCTCAGGAGAGAAAGAAAACAGTGAGACCTGTAATCATCTACTATCACTAAATCACAACCGCATGCACACAGGAGCACGCCCACATATAAATGTACAGATAAAAGGACTGTGAAACACTAACAGAGTGCGAGAGAAATAAAATAAAATAAAAAACGGGGGAAAAAGACAGAAAGAAAGCCTGAAAAATCTGATACCAGTTCTTCTGGTTTAGGCATTGCATTAATCTATGCTGAATGGATTTGACTGCATCAGAGCACCTCCAGGTGTTGTTTGCACACTCGTCTCTGCATCAGCACGGCATCGTTTTCTCAAGATAAGTCCCCTAATAATCATAATCAAAGATATTTCGAGAACAGACCCATTCAAACCCTCAAACTAAAAATAGAAATGTAGATATAAAGGCAGCGACTTCAGAGTGATATTAGCAACCCACTTCACACTTTGAAAAGTGGTGCGATGGGTGATTTTTTACAGTGAGTGTCAAGCTGTGCTACACACACATCCCAGAGTAATATAGCATGGCAATTTCTTTTCCCTGGTATGAATAATTCTGTCTGAATAGGATAGGATGTTTCTTCATATCAATGAATCATCAGCCGCTACAGCTCTTTAGTGTCTGCCTGAATGGTAAAGTAGAAATTTAACTAAGTCTGCGTGTGTGTGTTTGTGTGTGCGTTGCTGATGGGCTCTGATTGATGGTCTTGACCTTTCCACTGTGCATTTTCAGAGCCCGGGAGCCATCCAGGACGTAGGGACGAAGACTAAAAGGCATAAGAGAGTGTGAATCCACTATGGCGCTGTCTTGGTGTCTTGGTGCAGCTTTGGCACTGGTATGTGGATCTTTGTGGCCCCAGGTGCACTCAGGTGTGGCACCTGAGAATGAGGTGCCACTTCGCCCAACTACGTGGTTACCAGAAGGAAAGATCACCTCTGTAACCCTACCTAAAGGACGAACTCGCAGGTAACAGATGGAAAGCATCCATGTGGTTGATAGCTTGTTTCCACTGAGAGCATAGCAAGATTGTTTTCATGATATTTAATGATGTGGTGTCATAAGAGGTGAAAAAGGTGCTCCTATCTTTTAAAAAAATATCAATTTTTCAGCATACTTTATTCTGAATTATCAGTACATTAATATGTGTACCAAATAAACTGTGCCTAATGAATGAAGTGGGTTGAAAGCAGTTTCGAACTAAGCAGAGCAGACTAGGTAATTGCTAAGAAGTGACAGGTGAGTGAATCACCAAACAAAAAAAAAGGCACCAATCACGATTAAGATCAATTGAGATTAGGATTAAAATTAAAATCTATTCAAAAGATTAAAAATATATTCACCCCATGATGACATGAAGCTGAAATAAATCAGCAAGCGCCACATAATGAATTCCTTGTCAAACTATATCATTTCCTTAATGCATACACTTAATATTTTTGTCTAATGATTAGACTTGAAATGAACTTAAAGTACCATTTTAAACAGTCAGGTAATTTCATGTGTTTCTAATCCAAACAAGTCCATGATAATCTCAGCACTTGTGTAACAGCTGAATTCACGTGAAACTAGATGCGTTTTTCCTCATTTGCATTTCATTTAAGACCCACGATTAAAAACGGAGGTCTGCTCAGTGAGGTCGGAAACAGTAACATATCACCACCCATTCCCTATCCACCTTTCGTAAAGACAGAGGCTGATTCCAGCAGCGCTGTAGAGAGAGCAAGAGGAAGTGGAGCCCATTTGGCTTGAACCCTACACAACAGTGCCAGTTGCTTTCTGAAAGCGGGAGCAGAAAATTGCGACATGCATCTCCCCGTGAGCTGCAGTCTGTCCACCAGTGCAGTCAAGCAGGACCACACGGCAAATAATGGAGAGAAAACACTGATTCAGAAATTAATCACTCTATTAAATAATCCACAAAGTGCCCTTGAGAAAGAGTGCTGCACATCTGTTTGGAAACAATCACCATCTGTGCAGAATAATGAATAAACGTGTTTGTGTGGTAGGAAATAATTATGCTGTTCATACATTTTCACGTAGCACGACTAAATGTAAAGAAATGTTAAAGACTTCTTCTATTCAGTCGTCTTTGCTAAGCAATAAAGAGTTGAATTGAATTTTAATAGGCCACCACAGAATAAGCGTTAAAATGCCCTTCAACAGCAATTCAACTGCCATATAATATGCAAATCTAACATCCAACATGCAACAGCACAACCATGTCCTTATAGTTTCTATGCTAAGCACGAGCTGAAATGGTTACATCAAGCAGACAGATATCCATCTGAAGCCGTCAGTGCAGCCTTATCATCTGATTCTGAGGTCACCTCTCCTGATCTGCTATCAAATGACTGATCAGCGTGTAGGCAAATGGAAACACAGCAACTGGCAAATGTCTGAAACGGCTGTAACTCGTCAAACTTTAGTAAATGAAATTATAACCGCCCCACCTTATCTAAAAATCATCCAACAAAATGAAAGAATGGGCACCGAACAATATCTTGTCTTCTCGTCCATCACCTTGCAGCTGAACAGAAGCAGGATGCTATCTTTCTGTCATCCCCGGTGAAAAAGCAAATTGGTTCTCTTTGGTGTTTCTCCACAGGTTATACTTCACGCTGAAAAAGAAAGCTCCGGGGATGTCGGTGACAGTCAATCCTTGTGACCTTCCCATTGAATGGACCTTGACTGCTCGCACCCTGAAGGACAAACCCCTCAAAAACCTGCAATGTGAGTGGACAGTAAGACCACAAGCTGCACCTTTTGATACCCACTTAACCTGAAGACCTCACTACATCTGGCTTAGCCAAGGACATTGATTAGAGATTATCATTGCCATATAATATGTAGGGATTTAGTGAAGGGCAAACAGTCTAATCTTACTTAAGCTCCAATGTGTAGATGAGACTTTTAAACCAGATATGTGACCAGAATTAGTAGCATAAGGTAAAAAAGGTACATTCTTGCTTTGTGTTTTCATTATTTGTAACTTCAAGGTCATGCTTTTACTGCAACTGTTACACAAATTTATAGGCCAACAAACTGATTTCTGTCAAACAATAATTTCACTGTTGAAGCCTGAGTGTGTTTCCGTGTTATGAAAAGTCCACAAATTTAACAGTCCTACATCTTATCAGCACATTGTACCCATTTGTTGAAGTTCAAAGCACTGTAAAACGCATATATTTTTTTCTAAATGCCACCCAATGTCTTTGACAAGGACAGAGACAGCGAGTGTGATCATATCTGTGTGTCACCTGGTGATAAATTTTATCTGAGGCTTTTCATTTCATAAAACACACACACCAAAAAGCTCTGCCAACTCCCTGTTCAAATATTGAATAAAACAACAAACTAAAACTGCACTCTGTAACAATCTGTTTCTTGCAAACCAAAGCAATTAAATAAACTCAAAGGATTAAATATATTCTGGCACAAAGGCTTAGAATTAAAGACAGGCAATCAGTGCTCAGAGGAAACAGAAGTAATCGCATTTCAGTCCTAAAAAGGCAGAGATTTCTGGGAAAGGAAACAGGCCTCAGTGTTTTCCAAGAGTATTTTTCCAGGTTACTTAAACAAGCTTCTCCACATGCTAAAATAACATTATGTTATAAAATGACACATGAATCATTCAGACCCTGAGCTCATGGGTCCCCATTGCCAGCCTGAATAATTCACTTTGATTCGGTAACATTTGGTCTCATTTTTCATCTCTAGGAGACATGAACAGTGAAAACAATTGGTGATTTATTTATTTTTTGTCTGTGTTTATCTGGCAGTAGTGTCATTTAAGTGAAGAGTCTGTACTTCAGAATGAAAACACTTTAGGTGCTGAATGAAAATACTGCCAACCATTTTTGAAGTGGCAATTGACATTTTAGATATATATTTGTTTGTTCATTTACAAGGGGCTTAGGATTTTCTCTGTCAGCGAGGTTCAGTGTGATCAATTGTTATAATGTACAAACATAACGCTTTTGGTTTAATAACATGTACTATATTTTTTTTAAAACAGCGACACCTAAATAGTATAAAAATTGTGTCCACTGCTTACACTTTGGTGAAACATAACATGATTTATTAACCAGTAAATTAAATTTCTAATTTAGCATTAGCCTACTTCTCAGTAAATCACTATAGCTAATTTCTTAAATTTCAACTCTTGTGGCATTGCTAAAAACACATTACATTACTACTTTATGGGAAAGCAACTCAAAAACACCAAATAAAGAATTTAATTTTGGTAAACATACTTATTTACGTACTGCCAGCAGTAAAAGAGGAAGATAATATGAAACCAGTGGTGATTAGCTTAGCATAGGAGCTAGCCAGGGGGATCTGCTATGAATTGAAATTAACGGGTTAGCGCAATGACTGTTTTCTACAGTCATTGGGTTAGCAACCTACGTTGAGCTAAAAGTCAAAGCTTTCTGTGTCACTATGGTAACTTACCAAATCACCATGGTAACTTAAGCTGAATACCTTTGGTTTTGAGCAGGTTATGTTCAGATTTTCTGTTTGAAGTCAGCTGGAAGCGCCATGTTTTCATTGATTCTTTTATTCAAAGCATATTTTTAAGTGCAATATAGATTATCTGAAGCAGGAATACATTTTATATATGCATTTTGTTAAGCTATACCTTACTAAAAACCAAGTCATTAGGTGGTGATACAGAATGTTGTTGTTCTTTTTTTATTGCCGACTTTCTCTTAATATGCTACTATTTCTGTTTTACACTGCTGGAATTGCAATTACTACAGGATAGATTAGAAAATTAATTAACGTGTGTATTACCCAGAATACCCACACAATTAATAAAACGGATTTAATTTTGATTTGGCAACAGATTAAAGCGATTTCCATGCCTCTTTTTTTCCCGTTACGGGACAGTAACCTCTAATGTATCACATTTAAAGTTTCAGATATCTAATGTGCCGCTGTGACGTTGTAAACAGCAGTATTAAAATAATTAAATTGACTTAAAATGTTTATTTTTAGTGCTCTGTGCATTAAATCTAAGAGTAATTAATTTTCTGCAGTATTAATCTCTTGTCTTATTTGCAAGAAGAAAGGTGAAAAGCGCTGTTGTTGTGTTATGTTTTATCAAGTTGGCTAACACAAAGAAAGCCTGCATGTGTTTCATTCATTTGTAGTAAGAGTCTACCCTTATGACCATGTGGTAAATGGTAAATGGACTTATATAGTTCTTTTCTACTCTAACTGAGCACTCAAAGGGCTTTTTAGTCCAGTCCTCATTTATCCATTTACATAGACATTAATCTATACCTAAGCAACATGTCTCACACTCACACTCTAATGAATGCACTGGGATCATTAGGGTGCCTTTCTTAGGGCCCAAAGTCAGGCACGCAGACTGGTGGAGCTGAAAACAAACCACTGACCTTCCAGTTGGTAGACAACCCGTTCTATCTCCTGAGCCACAGCTGCCCCCCATATAATATGCTGTTTATCTAATCTGTACAAAAACAGACTTCTAATAACGTGGTGTTTTTGTGTAATTAATTATGTAATTGCACTAATTGTATGAGTGCACTGACTTCAAGGAGGCTACATTAAGCAAACTCCATACAGAGTGTGGCATGCATCTTATCCAATTCAGAGCATGAAAGTAATAAGCATTTCTTACGCAATGACAGCTTTATTTCTTTAACACTGTAAAGAACCTAATATGAGATAATCCAAACTTTATAAGGTCTCCTTCAGGCATGTTTTGATATATAATCTGAGTTATTGCATTTGTATTTATTGTTGGCCACATTTAATTTGTGCAGATTCTAACATTGATTTATATTGCATATTAAGTTGTGCAATATTATTTTATGACTTTGCAGGATAAAGTTTATTATAACATTAATTGCTTCATTTAGGGCACTTTATAATTTTATGTGTAACATTTAAGTTATTTATTATCACCCCTTGAAAAAAACGTTAGCTCCTATCTGCTGGTGTGTATGTCAGGATATAAAGTTCACACTGTTTATTATGGAGAATACTTTTAAGAAAACCTATAACCCACCATTCATCTATAGCTCAGGGAAACTGGAGAACAGTACTGAAACAAGACACCAGGGTTACGCATATAAGAATTATGCTACTTTAGATAATAATGTTTGTCTGAAAATCATGTCTAATTATTCTTCCTGATTTAAAAATCCCAAATCTGAGAATGTACAAATACTACCAGATGTGCAAAAACTACCAGAAGCAATTCAAGTCCTGCTTCACTCTGACTAACTCCAACTGTGTGAAGCAAAACATTTATCCTTCACTGAATGAATGTGAAAACAATCTTCTAGTATCAAACTTTGTCATTGTCCAAAGTGATGGTCAAATGCACAAGTGAAGTAAGAATAAGCAAAACATATTCAAGTGTGTCATTATGATCTATTGTGGCTAGCTTTCTTTTTTCTTCTTTGCTCACAGGGAGTACTAAAAAAAGCATGCCTGAGGTGTGGTGGCGAGGTCCTGGGACAGAGGAGAAAATACACAGCAATACTGGCAATACAGTGGAAAGCTACAGTGGTCCAACCTATCCAAGCGCTTCCATCTACATCCTAAGGCTACGCTCCAAACAGCAGAACACCAGAGCTACAGTGTATCTTCATGAAGGCCTGGGGCCTTCAGGCATCTTCCCTCTGCTCCCAGCTGACCCGCAAGTTCACACATTAGGTGTAGGCATGACCAGCGTCACCCTCAGCTGGGCACCCAGTGCCTCCATAACGAGCCTCCCACATACACAGACCAGTTATGAATACTGTGTCCTTGTCAACTCACAGGAAAACTACCCCAGCCTTTGTGCTGCACAGAAGAGTATGAGGAAAGAGAAAGACCAAAAACAAGAAAAGAAGGACAGACGGAGCAGGGTGACGGTCTGGCCCATTTTGAAAGAGTGGTGGTGGCAGCAGTGGGACACTTATCCTGAAAGTCCTCAAAGTCCACCAGCTTCCCTCACTGATGAGTATGAAGACCTCCAATGTGTGTGTCAGGGGACAGAAAGTGTTTGCACTGTCTCAGAGCTCCTGCCTGAGACCCAGTATTACTTTGATGTCTTTGTGGTCGACAGGCTGAATGGGACCAGCATGGCATACAAGGGGACACTTGCTCGGACACATGAGGAGGCTCGACCTGCTATTACCGCCCTTAGAGAAGGAGAGCTGAGGTGGGTGACTTTCCAAGACAGAGGCTTCAGCTCGGAGCAGTTCTTCAGTTTCCGTCCTCGGGGTTGGCAACAGAGTGGCCTCCTCACCTTGCAGAGCTGTGGGGAAGGTGAAAAGGTCAAGGTGACTGTATCTAGTAAAGGTCAGGTCTTGACCTCTCAGGCTGCTGGGCGAGAATTAGCGCACATATGGCTCCAGGGAAGTACTTCCTATCTCATCCATCTGGAGAGAGAAGGAACCGCCATGGACCACACCTCTGCTGTTACAGACCCATCGCTACCAGAAGGTCTGACAGCTTCAGTCAAAATGCAGACCTCATCAGCTTACCACCGCAGAGGAGTCCCATCTCTGCCCTCCACCTTACAGATAAAATCCTTCAACCGATTGCGTGGTTGCAGTAGTGTCACCCTAGCATGGATGGGAACAGAAGAAAGAAGCCTTTACTGTGTGTACCGCAGAAAGCTTGGAAGCCATGAAGCAGAAGCTGGCGGAGCATCAGCTCTAACTGCACCCTGTCTGGGGCCAGAGTCCCGCTCTGACACCGAGAGAGTTCTCTGCAAGTATTTCCAAGAGCTGAATCCTCGGCGGGCCGTCACTACAGCTGTGATTGGGGGCCTGGAGCCAGGAATGGCCTATGTGTTTGATGTCTATCTAATGAGACGCTGGGGGATCCCTATCAAGTACACCAGCAAGATGGTGAAGACTAGAAAGGAATGCTGAGCTGCTGCCCCCTACAGGAGGTTTTTAAACTGTCCCAGTTAAGGGACAAATGCATCAGCCACGGGCATGCTATAAAGACTGTCCAAGAGAACGAAGCCATTTGACTGTTGTAGAGAGACTGTTACCATAACAAGGAAATATTCCCTCTGGAGGAGCAATGGTTACATTCAAGATCTCCACTTACAAGATCTGTGCAAGTGGATAGAAAGCATATGAGAAGGATCTGCACACCAGCAAAAGTTCATAACATTTACAATACAGTTCCTGTGCTTTTGTCATTTTTTCCATTGTTGATCATAATAATAATGTGCCAGTTGTCCAAGTGCTTATTTTGTGTCAGAATACAAAGAATGGATGAGGTTTGTGATGACAAAAGTCAAGACAAAAACAACAACAGAGACTGTGCCAAATATGCAACAGAAGCAGATGGGGCAATAATTAGATCACATCTGAGACGCGGGGGTTGTAGTATATATCTCCAGTGCTGCATATTGTACAGGCTTATAAACACAGATGGGTGCAATCTACAGATGCTAAGTTCAAAGTCAGTGTGTATCTTTGTGTTCTGCTTTCGCATGAAGCAGTGAAAATACTTAGTGACTTGCCTCATTGTCTTTGATGTATTCTTGTGCTGCTTCAAACTCATTAATAAATACTTGGGTATCCGTATGGTTCTGCCTGACTGATGCATGTATTTGCACTATTTTGTGAAATTCTAAATTTAACGCTTCAGCTTTTATCATGAAAAATTAAGTCTGTTGGGTTGCTCAAGGCCACACTAATCTGTGGCATTTAATTAAGGGGAGATTTATGATTTATTTTGGTTAATAGATTCAAAGTAAGGTTGAAATATTAAAAAAATGTATTTTATATAGACTTTAATCTGCTGATAGATTTTTTTCAGGAGAAAATAATATAAAAAAAAAAACAATGTTAAAAGGGGTCATTTATATATGGCATTATCACTTCAGACACAGCAGCTTTAACATCATTACACAATAATTTGTCTGCAGCATCACCCGTTAACCTCAATCTTAGCATTTGATCATGCTGTGATCATATTTGAATGAGAGGATGGATTTAAATTATTAGCTAGCAATAAGGCTAGCAAGCTTGGTAATCAAGCTCCACCCATAAGCTGTACAGGTTCAACACCTGCTAAATAAAGATGACAGCGATACTGAGATGAGTTGTTGAGAATATCAACTTTTCTGTAGGTAAACACTGTTGCATTTTTGCCACTGAGCTGCTGTTAGCTGCTGTTGGCTCTTGTTAGCTGCTATTAGCCGGTGTTAGTGAAAATTTCTTTGAAACAGATCAAACACAATGTGAGAGAAAAATCAAACCTTTAATAAGAGGAAAAGCGTGACTTTTAAGACACTCAAACCTAACATTAGCTGACATAGCGTTAGCTTATAACCAGCTGTTGTTGCATAGCTGGCATTTTCAGTTGACCAGATGGGTTGCATGTCTAATCCACTAAAAATAAGTAATTGTGACAATTTGGGGGAATAAATAAGCATGTTTATGCACATTTGCATGTGTCGGAGCCCTGACTTCATTTAGGAGATGAGGCTTAAGGTGGGGAGGAAGAGAATGGCGTGGAAATGAGAAAGAAGAGAGAAAAATGAAAGACGAGTTGGAGAAGGAGAAAGACATAGTGAGGAAGAGATGATGACAATGTAAAAGTTTCATTTATTAAATATTCATCTATAGCTAGGAAAGAGCTATTTGTGATCTTTAAATCAAAAGTAACTTATAAGGCGTCCTGCATGTAGGGTGGTCTCCACATAAAACACAAATGGCATTTCAAGTTTTTACAACAGATACAGCACTTGCAAAGGAATACAAGAGACTGATGCTGATTTAGCTTTGATTGGTGGGAAATGGAGAAATTCTAAGCAGCTGTGGTAAGACAATAAGGGTTTATTCAAGAGAAAACACAAAGCCTTGCTGGTTTGTGGTAGTACCAGTGAAATGCACACATAAATACACTGAGCATGTTTACAGAATCAGTTTGATGAAAGACGTAGTTACATAGTAACTATGAGAACAGCATTGCTTTCTATCTAATAAATAAACTAAAAAATACTTACTGTACCTTTAAAGTTTAAAGTATTTAACACTTTGCATAATCATAAACATGATATTACTGAATCATAATTAGTGATTTATTGATGTGTATATCTCTTAAACATTGTATTGTTAATGATTTTAATCACTTATATTATTATATTATTAAGTAAAGGATCTTGAATATGCATCTGCCATGCAAAAAGAAAAGAAGAAGACAGCAGAGATTTATGGATGTAGTGAAGGAGAACATGGAAAGGGTTGGTGCTAGGAAATGAGGGTCACCACAGCTGAAGGAAGAAGAAGCCTTATATGCATTTAATCTAAAAAATAATAAATAATGAAAGCTTTAATGTGTGGAGTACAGAGTGCAATAATAGTTAAAAGTAACAGATAAAATACATTAAACTTGAGTAAAGTATTTGAGTTACATTCCAACTGGTCCTATCTATGTATTCATTTAACTGAGTTGGGGACTGCAAGATTAAGGGTACTTTAGTTGTACTGTTTTAACACCAAACATGTATCGTGTAAAAATGTATTAACATTTATAGTTTATAACATACTGGCAACACATTGAAGATGTTAAGTACATGTATACACACTATAAATACTATCTGAAAGACGTTTGGGAAATAAGTAAAGAAAATAAGTTTTAAAAAGTTGTTCAAAACTATCTTTCCCCAAAGGATAAATCTTGTGTTATCTCTTGTGTAAAAGTGCGCAAGTTTTGTGTGAAAAAGAAGTCATGAAAGGCCTCATTACACATTCTGATAATGTCGGTCACGAGATCCAATCAGAAGACGTTTCTGTACGTTACGCAAGCGCGTCGATGCACGCAGTGGTCTCTGTGACAGGCTAGCGCGCCAAATTGATGTTACCGACAACAGAAAACAAATTAATGCTTAGCTAGCCACAAAACTACCCAGTACACGTCGCGGAGAGTCTTAGGACGAAATTGTTTTCCTGTCAAAGCTCAGACTGAGGCACCTGGTCCGCTGTCAGGATGGGTCTGCTCGAGCGTTGCCAGGAGCTTTTTAAGACCTCAAACTTGTATGAGGTTCTGGGAATCAACAAAGAGGCGACAGAGGCTGAGATCCGGAGGAGCTACTACAAAGTGTCGCTGAAAGTCCATCCAGACCGGGCTCCTGACGACCCGCTGGCCACAGAGAAATTTCAGGTGAACGCTCGTTGTTGTTGTGACAACACACATACACGCAGAGATTAAGCTAGGCTTGCGAGCTAGCTAACGCAGTTAAACTGTAGTTGCCGTGAATAATCTCGCACTGTGCCATCACAGACTTCACCCCAGTAGCATCCAGTCGCGGGATTTGGACATGCGTTTGTGGTATCTACATGATTACAGAGATGTTTTGAGCATCCCCCAGTGATACTGAATTTTCACAGTAATTCAGGTGCAAAACAGACTCGTTAGGTAATTTATATCCCCACATATAAGTTACCCTGTAAACTGAATTCAACACTTTGCTTACTACCTCAAATAGAACCTGTATTAGAAAGTCAAGCAGGCTAAACGAAACAGTTGAGAAACTAAGTCTCACATCTATGGTGAGAGCCATTATCCACAAATGGAAAAAACGTGGAACAGAACCTTCCCATCAAAGACTCATCCAGGAGGTAAAAAATAACCCTCACTTGTCTCTGTTAAAGTAAGTGTTCATGATTCAATGATAAGAAAGAGACTGGGCAAAAATGACATCCACTGGAGAGTTCAAAGGCGAAAACCAGTACTGATTAAAAAGACCACAAAGGCTTATGTCACATTTGCAAAAAAAAACAAACAAAAAACATTGTAATGATCCCCACGCCTTTTGGGAAAATATTCTGTGGACTCTCTAGGCAAAGTTGAACTTTTGGTTTGAGTTACATCAGGGTGTAAAACGAAGACATAATTTCATAAGTATGATATGACGTTATTGTGATGGCCGCTGCTGGTTTAGGACCTGAATGACTTGCTGTTATGGATGGAACCATGAATTCTGAAAATGCAGAAAGTCCTGAAGGGGAATGTGTCAAGCAGAGACAAAAAAAAAAAAAAGAAAGATTATGCAGTGGCCTAGTTTAAGTCCAAACTTAAATCAGATCCAGATGTTTTGGCATGACATTAAACAGGCCGATCATGGTCAAAAACCTTCCAATGTGGCTGAATTAAAACACTTCTGTTGTAAAGAAGAGCGGGCCAGATTGCCTCCACAGTGATGTGAAAGCCTCATTGCCAGTTATCACAAACACTTGATTGCCATTCTTGCTGCCAGTGGTGATACAACCAGTTATTAGGTTTAGGGGTAATTACCTTTTCACATAGGGCCATATAGGTTTGGATCGGCTTGAATTCCAAAAATAAAAGTATTTAAAATAGCACTTTGTATTTATCTGGGTTTTGTCTAATATCAAAATGTGTTTAGTGATCTAAAAAAATGTCAGTGATATGGGGGGGGGGACAGAAAACAGGGGAGGCAAATACTTCTTGCAACAAAACTGTTAATTTAGTGTTGTCAGGTAAAGGCACTTGCTAAGGTATTGGAAGTTATTGACCATAATGAATTAATGAATGACTGTAAATAATAATAATAAATTTTATTTTAAAGCACCTTTCAGAACACTCAAGGACACTGTACACAGCAGAATAATAAAAACAAGCATAAAAGCAGACAATTTACAAAATCATATAATGCAAAACATAAAACAGATTTAAAATAGCAGAATGGAAAAGGTTATGTGGGATAAGCTATTTTGAACAGGTGAGTTTTGAATCTAGACTTAAAAAGAGAAAAGGAAGTAATATTTCTTATATCACATCCTGTCGGCAATTCCAAAGTCGAGGAGCAGAGCAGCTGAAAGCCCTGCACCCCATAGTGGCGAGGCGGGGGGAGGGGACAGAGAGAGAAAGAGAAGAAGATGATTTAAGACGCCAAGCTGGAATGGTGATCTGAACCAAATCAGCGAGATATGGAGGGAAGAGAAGATGAATAGCCTTACATGTATACAAAAGTATTTTAAAATTGATGCGATAGTTGACCGGCAGCCAATGAAGCTATTGCAGGACAGGGGTGATGTGGTAAATAGATGGGGTCCTTGTGATAATAGCAGAATTCTGGACACGTTGAAGCTTATGTATGGACTTTTGGGTGAGACCAAAAAGAAGTGAATTGCAGTAATCAATCCGAGAAGTAACAAAGCTATGAACAAGAATAGCAGTGGCATGTGGAGTGAGAAAAGGATGGACAAGATTAATGTTGCGCAATTGGAAATATGCAGACCGAATAACATTATTGATGTGTGAATTAAAAGATAAAGTACTGTCGAGGATGACACCCAAACTTTTCACACATGGAGAAACAGAGACCGGTGAGTTATTGATAGTAACAGAGAAGTTATTAGTTCTGGATAATGTTGATTTAGAGCAGCGGTGTCAAACTCAAATACACAGTGGGCCAAAATTCAAAACTAGAACAAGGTCGCGGGCTAACATTAATATTTATTGAAAAATATCTTCCTCCAGATTTAAGAATTAATCTCTTCTTATGGACTCAAACAAGTTTTGCTGAAAAACTGAATGTGGAACAAGCAAAGCTTAATACTAAACAATGTATATATTAGCTGTATAATACCAGTAGGCCAGCTCTAATAGTAATTTGGTATGGCTTCACGGGCCACATGTAATTAGGCTGCGGGCTAAATTTGGCCCGCGGGCCAGAGTTTGACACCTATGATTTAGAGCCTGCCAAAAGAAGCTTTGATTTATTTTGGTATATGAAAATGCCTATAATATAAAGGCTGTGGCAGCATCTCACAAATGTCTCTTGTCTAGTTCGTATATGTATATATAGGTGCGGCATTTTACAGACTAATATCAAGTAATGGCCTCAGTTCATCAGTGTTTCAATGCACCTCTAAATCAGTGTGTAATACCATAGTTTTCAGTAAGAGTTGTATTTTGGTGTGAAATGTCCCTACAGGTGTTGGGAAAGCTGTACGCGGTGCTGAGCGATAAGGAGCAGAAGGCTATTTACGATGAGCAGGGAGTGGTGGATGAAGAGTCTGACGTCCTGAAGCAAGACCGCTGTTGGGAAGACTATTGGAGACTGCTTTTCCCAAAGGTACCAGAGCACAGAGTGATTTTTGTTTTTTCACTAACATGACTCACTAATGAGTCACAGTGAATGTTGTTTGTCTGTCTGTGTCCTGGGATGATGTGACACCTGAAGCGAGTCACTTAGAGGAGGAGGTTACAGCAAATATATGGTCAGACTACACCTATGCATAATAGTAAATTGATGCAAGCATAATATATTTCAATTTGTTTGTTTGTTTTATTATTAATTCATTAATGTTCATATTAGTCTTCACAACATGCTGTCTTTCCACCCACCTCATAGATCACAGTCCAGGACATACTTGAGTTTGAGAAGACGTACAAGGGCTCTGACGAGGAGCGACAGGATGTGATCAAGCTTTACTTACAGCACGAGGGAGATATGGACGCCATCACCGCCTCAGCTCTGTGCTGCTCCCAAGAAGATGAGCCCAGGCTGTGCAGCATGATCCAAGATGCCATCGATAGTGGCGAAGTAACAGCCTTCCCAGCTTTTACTCATGAGACCGAGAAGAAGAAAAGGGCCCGGAGGAAGAGGGTGAGAGATGTGTTGGTGTTGAATCACAACTTATGTGCAGGGTTTTGTTTTGTTTTTTTGCCATGATTGTTAGATGACCAAAAGTACTTGTAAAAACTTTAATCATTGCTAATAATTTGTAAGAAATGAGTACAAAAGATAAGGCTCCAGCGTCTTTGAACTTAATGATTGCACCTAACCTTGCAGGCTGATAGAGAGCGCCAAGAAGCAGAGGAAATGCAGAAAAAGATGGGGCTGGACGACCAGGATGACAGTCTTGTGATGATGCTTAAGGTGACAAATGCATGTGCAGATGTTAGAAAGTTTCAGGGGTATAGCTTGTTTATCCTCTGACTAACTTTGCTTTCTTCTTGTTTCCTTCTCTGCAGCAACGACAGCAGTCCAGAGAGCAAAATTTTAACAGTTTCCTGTCTGACCTGGAAGCAAAATACTCCAAGAAAAGTGCCCCAAAACCCCAAAAAGGAAAAAAAGCAAAAAAGTAAAATGTTCTAATATTAGTAGATACAATGTATGTAAGTTCTGGAAGATAACCACATTCACAAAACAAACAACTTTGGAAGAACATTGATATACACAGTTGTACAGCTGCATTCTGTAATCATTGAAATGATCAGCCTCAGTAGCTTTTATGTGACGCTGTATTTTGTCTCATTTGTTTTTTCTGTTAATCTTAAAAAATAAAAAAAGACCCAAAAAAAACAAATAAATCCAGTTATGTAACACATCATTGCTTCACAGCGTTGTTTATTTATTTATTTTTACAAAACAGGTTAAAAGAAAATGCATTGCAGAAAATTGTTGACTGTTTTTCAAGCTTTGTGGCATGGCTGTCTGATAAATGATCCTGAATACATATAAATTTACCTTTTTGCAGTAACCCTGATGTTACCTGTCAAAGCACCCCCGCTTGGCTTAGCTTAGATTTAAAAACGTTACATCCCGTAAAATGTTTTGTACATACGTGACAGGCTATTTACAAATAAAGTTTAATATCACTGCCTCTTATGTTCCTTTTGCTGTCGTGTCATGCAGTTTAAAACCCACAGCCCCTCTCGTGATTTAAAATAAGCTCGTCTTTTTGTTTTCCTTCCTGTATACAATGATATGCAAAGAGGCTATGGATAAATGCTTGTCGTGTCCCTATAAAAGATACAGTACCAAACTCTCTGATTTAGCTTCAGAGAGGAAAAAAAAAAAGTGCTTTTTATCCTCTGTAATCCTGTCGGGATGAATGTGTTATTCCCTGCATAGTGGGTTCCTGGTACAACAACGCAGCACAGAGGATACTATACAGTACGTTCACATATAAATAGATATATAAATATTTACATCATACATGAACTAAGGTCTAAATATGCAGCTCATACTGTACATGAAGATGGAGTTATTGTTAATAATTATTTCTGTTTGGCAGCCTCATAAGCTGATTTTTGAAGTACAAAAATAGGGTTTTAACAAAAATATTACAAAAGCAGCATAATATGAAAAAAAGAACCTGCTACTTCTGTAAAACAAAACTGTTCAGTGGGCACGGATGCTGCAGAGCATTGCACTTTGTTGCACTTTAATAAAGATGAGTGGCTCAAAAGTCTGGAGTTTAGAGGCAAACTACAAGCCAGGTCTGCTGGCTCTGGATGAGATGCCTCCTCGGGTGTGAGACCGAGACGGGACTGACGCAGGCACCAGTGGAGCTGAGAGGAAGAATTAAAAAAAAAATTATAATAATTAAGTTAATAAACAACCTTAAAACCGTACTTGCTGCTTCAATCTCCCGCATTTATAGTTCAGTTCTGAGGCCCGAGTATGAAAGAGTTTCATCAGCCACTTTAATCTACTGACCTGGGACAGGGGCTTGCGGGTCCGGCTCCTCTTCGTCTTTGATGGGCGAGTGCCCCAAGGGGTGGTGGGAAAATGAGTCCAAAAAAGACGAGCTGCTGATGCCAAGACTGATGCCCGTCACACCGATTCCAAGGGAGTCTGGTGCAATGAAGGAATAAATGAATGCATAAGTTATTAGGCGATGTGCTAAGAAACGCGCCTTAAAGTGCATGTTCAAAACAGGAAACGGGCCGAGAAAAGCAGGAGTGTTAGCTCACAGTATCAGTGATTCACTTTACCCCAGGATGAACTGTTATGAACTATGAGAGCAAATAAAAATGACTGAGTCCGCTATAACAAGCAGTATGATAACAATACTGCTTAGCTAAAACTTAACTAGAAGAACAGTAAAGGACGAATGAATAGAACAGAGCTAAAAGTAGCAGTGAAATGAATGGGATTGCATACATACAGAAGTGTATTAGCCTTTTTTAAACAATAAAATCAACTTTTATTTAACTTTAAATGAACATATTTTGAACATGAGTAGTCGAAGAGGCAGATATAGTCTTACAGAGTGGCGTTCGGTAACCAGGGCAGTACATCACATCAAAATTTTTAATGGTTTCTTTTCAAATATTCAGGCTGAATTTCTGACCTGTGCCCACAGAGGCTCTGCCTGGCCGCCCCTGCCCAATGTTGTCCAATACTGTGAAGGATCGACGGTATGGAGTATCTGACTGAAAGCAAAGTGAGGCGTCAAGCATGCTTACAATTCAGAACGTTAACCATACCAGCGAATAATATAGAGTTACTGATGCCATTGTGACCCGATCTACAATCTAATTACTGGAAAATAAAAAAACATTACAGGACAGCTTCTCTATGGAGTCAGAAATGAAATGACTGTATTTTCTCTGATGATTAACCAGCATCTCACCCTGTAAGTGTGGGTTGTGTTGGGGCGAGAGAAAACGTCCAGTAGGTGGTGGCGATCCCTCGGAACTGAGCTGCCAGCTTTGTCATTTATAGCACTGTGGGCACGGCTAGATGGGCCCTTCTGGCGCTGGAGGGATATTTTAAAAAAGAAAAAGAGAAAAGGGCACAAAGTTGACTGTCTGGCTTTATCTACATTCATAAAACACTCTCTCTAGGTTTACTGGCACATTACTTAATTATCTACTTGGTGAGAGTGCCTGTACCTGTGCAGTTTTAGATGGCTGCCCTGAGTAAGATGAGTCTGGGTCTCCGGTGCTAATGGGCGGAAGGAGTGTGTTTCTGCTTAGAGGCAATGGTGGAGAGTTCAGTTGGTCACTGGCTGTGGGTCTGTGGATGTGTGGATGAAGACAGTTTTGTCATTTTATCCATGCTTCATTAATAGCTCCCCTTTTTTTAAAAGAAATTTCAGAGGGGTTACTGTTAAACCCATAATAGAAGAGAGGATAAAGGCCTAAATTTTAATTTACCTTTTCTGGGCCCTATGTGCACGGCTATTTATTGTCTAGATGCACATAGACTGCATTTCGTTGCCTTGGACTTGTGACATGTGCAATCACAATAAAGTTGAATTCTATTCTATTCTATTCTAAAAAGTTTGTTGAAAGCAGCCACAAATATGTGTCAGACAGAACTAAACTGAAATCAGTCTGACATCCCAGAGAGCAGTTTACACTCTGATTTTCCAACATACTGGGTGCTTCTTCATATGCTGCACAATAGTTATACATGAACAATCAAGCACTAGTCAATCAGTGTGGAAGCTCACTACCCGACAACATCTGACAACAGGCTGAGTCCTGCATGTGGCACTGCCACAGCCATAAGCTGAAATGGAGTCTGTTCTAAAGGCAAGTTCTCTCTACATCTGCAAAATTTCACAGGGTGTAGGAGGGAATGAGGAGAGAAAAAGGGAGCAATGTAGGAACTGGGGTGGGTTCTCGTGATGTTAAAACTCACAGACGTGTCCCGCGGATGACCTCATCCATGGATCCCACTGCGCTCGACTGACTCGGATTGGGAACAAGAGGCAGGAGGGTTCGGGGAGGAGGGTTCCTGCGTCGGGCCGATTGTGCTGGGCGGGACAGCGAGGAAGAGCTCTGCTCCAGGGGTCGGCGAGGGCGAGGTTTGTTGGAGGGGACCGCGCTAGATCCCGGTCTGTGAGACGCACGCTCTTCTGGCTCCCTGAGTGGGAAGGAAAGAGAGCAAAACACGTTCGATGAATAGTCTGTTTGCAACCAGCCAACTGGCTGAGGACTCTGCCAAACAAGGTGTTAGGACCAGGGACAAAAACACTGCATGAATGATGCTCTGTACCTCTTGTTCTGCAAAATGTGTTTTTCAGTAAATGGAAAACTGCAAGATATCCTTGTCTCTTTTCTCTCTGAGTTAAAGATTTAAATCACATATTAGAATTCAGAATTGTGCTAAAATTAATTTCCCTGTTTGTTTTTAGTTTTTTAGTTTTTTTTAAAGCCACTGCTCACAGGTTAAGACAGTAATATGTGATCATACTGGCTTCTATCCGGCACACCCAGGTTCCTCTGCTGAAGGGGGATGCTGTGGATCACGATGAGGTCGTTCAGGTTGTGCTGAGTCGCGGCTGCTCCTACAGGGACTCTTCCAGCCTGGGGTTTGGTGTGAGATGAGTGACAGATAGTAATGAGACAGATGGGATGAAAAGTAAAAGATGGAAATGATTAAGGGGTCAAGGAGGGGAGGGAGATAGGAGGGGACAAAACACATAATATAAGAAGAGGCTAATAGGGCTAGTTATTTCCATATGTATAGTGCAGAAAAATTGCCAAGAAATGGTTATTCGTCATGCAGTGATGTAAGGAGGGCCCCATATTTGCTATGGCACCAAAAAGACAACAGTCATAACACTAAAAATGCAACAAAAACAATAAGTAGCAAAAGAATACATTCCAGCACTCTCCTAAAAAAGGAAGGCTCTAACTACAGTTAAACTTGTACATGTTTAAAGTAAGTTGCAGTTAATGAAAAAGATAAACAGATGGCAACACTTCGGTGTTAATCAACAGTCACAAACACGTTTAATCTAGAGGTAAAGATAACGAGCCGCTGTGGACGGCATGCACACAGCACGCCACCATTTTGGCTCTAAGTGAGGGAGTTACATACACTGGAAGGCCTTTTCTGCTTTTTGGATTTCCGTCTGGACTTGTGCTTTGAGCCCCTTGACTTTGTGTTCTTTAAGTGAGAGTAGAAGAGGACATGTCCAAAGAAAGAGACAGTGGATAGAAAGGAAAGGAAGGAAGAAGTGTAAGTGAGAAAGAGGGTAATAAGAACAGAAGAAAAATGGATAAAAAAATAAAAAAGAATGACCAAAAGAGATGAAATAAGACAAAATACATTGGCATGGTGAAGAGTGGAAAGTGAAGAGGGAAGAAAAGAAAACAGTTAATGAACTGGAAGCGCTGAAAGAGTGAAGAGCAACAGGCAGAGGTAATAATTAAGTGTGAACTCTGGAGGAGACACATATGACTCTAAGTAAAATGAGTCTTACCTCAATCCATACAAAAAATGTATTCATTAACTCTATAAGACTAAACTTGCCAATTCAAATGACTTCTTTTCAGTTACTACATTGTCATTATTAAAGTGAAATAGGCGCCACATAATAGCGACACTTTTTTAAATATACAAAGGAAATCTATAACTATTTATGTTCTTCTATTATAACATAGTCACTTAGTTTGATGGCATCTACTAAAAGGAAAAAAAAATTAAATTTTGACCCTCCTGATAGTCATGAAAGTGAAACGAGGCCCACAGTCTGAACTCCCTTAGACGCACCCCGGTTCCTCCCATTACTCCTCAGACCACTGACCTGGAACTGCATGCCAGCTGTGAGTGGGGGCACCCGGCTCTGGCCAAGTTTGGGCAGCATCGTGGGCAGCGTGGAGAGCAGCATAAAGGGATTCTGGAAATCTTGCTGCACGGGGCTCAAGTTCCCAGAAATATTTTCATCATCTGCCAATGACAAATTTAAAACTGTTGTGCATAAGAATGTCGATTTGTTAATTAGAGTTCAGCCTAACGCATGCAAACCAGTCAAATTCAGCCTACGTGAAGTGCAGCATTCCCAGTGGCGTTGAACCAGCTCTTTCATGCAGCCAATGAGCTGCCGCCACACATCATCAAACAGCAGATCGAGAACAGCGTGGCGGCGACACCGGTATGGTGAGACTGGGGGCAGACATTTATGCCTCCGACTCGACTCGGAGCAATCCTGTTCCCACTGGTCATCCTCCCTGCAGAAATAGGATCTTATAAGAAAATGAACAACACATAAACAGCAATTCTGAAAACAGAGTAACTTACAAGTCTGTGCTATCAAAAGCAAGATATTCCTCCATCTGACCCTCTAGTTCAGTCACTCTATTCTTGTTATGGCTGCCAATGCCGCTGGAGGTACCAGGCTGAGCGTCCAAGTCTGGTGAATTGGATCTGATCAGATGTGCTCTCCGGCCCTGCACATTCAACCTTACCCCCACCAAGAGAAGACGAGACTTAGTTAAACAAGGTCATTTCCATAAAAACTAAATCCCTCAAATTCAGCAGACAACCACATCTTGAAAAGTAGAATTAACATAATTTTAATATGTACAAACAGGCTTAATCTAATCTCTTTTATATCAACTCGATTTACGGAAAAACTAGTTAGATAGCAGAGCAGCCTAATTCCTACTAGTCTATCAGTTAAAAGTGTGAGTCAAAGCATCATTTTCTCAGAACCATGATACCCACCATGACTTTGGCTCAGATTATTAATTAAAAAGCCAGAGGATCTAGGTCACAAAACCAGAGTCAGCCAGGACTCCTCTATAATTGATGCAAAAACAGGAGTAATCTGGACAGCCAACATCCACTCAAGACAGACAGACAGAGGCATTGCAGTTTTTCTTTAAATAATAAAGCAAGATATGGCTCTTTTGGGCTTTGAACATACATAACTGCTGTAAACTGTTCCATAGTTAGTTAGTGTTAACAGAGTTTATTGACAGTAATGGCTGATAATTCTTGTCTCTGCTGTTTCAGAGTATAAGCTGAAGACTGACTGATAAAACAAAGTATAATGTCCATTTTAAGCGGCAGTGACAGGCTGTTCTGAGTAACGTCTGACATTCCTTCAGCCAAGAATGATAAAAGCGATAACATATCAGCCATAATTATGTGGACACAAATCAAACATAACAGCCTAAGATACTATCTAAACTCCACCCTCCAAGATAACGCTAGATCAGATGGTGAGATACCACTCACACACGCAGAGATATCTTCGTATATCTGAGAGAGATGCAACAGGTGATCTCTAACCTTATGTATCGACTCAGTGCAGAGTTGAGACTTTGAAACTTACTCTGTTCCTTCCCTGTCTTTCTCCTGGGGTTTAATGCTGCTTTCTTTGCCCGCTGACAGCCTGCTGGAAGCGCTGCCTTTCCCTGAGGTAGTATACCACTGGAAGCCTTCATCACTGGGACACAGCAGCTGAGTCCCCAGGATACTGAGTGACACACACACACAATGAATATGTAAAACAAGTGTGATTCTGTAGAAGAATGGAACACCTTTACAGGTTTTTCTCCACAATCAGAATTAGTCTTTGATCCCACTGCTGCCCCATTTCATTGGGAATTTAAAAAAAGGGCTGGCAGATGATAGGAGACGGCGGATTAAATACCGAAGATGAGGGAAACGTGTGGCCCACTGCTGACATTCATCCTGGAGCCCTTGGAGAATCCCTCCCCCACTGCCTCTTCCCTCATAAAGATCTTTGTCGATCTCCTCAAACATTTGCTGCACCTGCCGTGATGCCGCCTTGTCAAACTCCTATGGGACGGAAACAGGAACACAGGAAAGAGAGTTATTCTTCACGACTAAAACTCCCCACATTTTACTTACTGGCAACATATCGCTATTCAATGCAAGCAACAACGTGCATGATAATTAGCTCCTACTCTCTTGAGATGCATTCAAGTGTCAAGTTGTTCATGTCATAAAAAAAGGTCAGGGCGGAGAACGATGTATATTTAAAAGATGTCTCTTAACTGAGAGTTTTTGCTTCTCAGAAGCAACTTGAGGACAAAGAAACTAAATAAATCATTGAGTCCTAAAAAAGTTTTGTAGAAACAGCTTGGTCAAGCAGAATCAGACTTTGTGTGTACAAACAAACATCCACTATACTATATAAATACTGTGTTCATCTGTCTTCTTCTAAATGTTTCCACAAATTTGTGAAAAAGAGGCAAATGTTAGTGACTAAATGAAAATCTAACACAAAACTGCAGCAATGTGTTTGTGTCTATAATAAGACAACAGAAAAAAAAGAAGAAAATCAACATATCTAGTGTTTTAGTGTGCACAGTGTGTACATCCTTTGTTTTACAGACAGAGTCAGGCTGGAATCAACAGTTTTCTCGTGAGCAGACTTACATCGTAGCCCCAGGAGAAAACAGAGCTCCTCTCGGTGGAGATGCCAGTACCCGTGGAGCTGTGAATACCTAACCAGGACTGGCTGGAGTCTACTGAGATGACAGTGGGGCACTGAGAGTGGCCTGAAGCAGCAGATGTCTCTGAGCTAAGCACAAAGACAAAACCGTTATGTAGCCTGGCTGTAAAATCAATGTGAAGAACCAAATGCCCTATATGAAGTGTCCTGTGTTTCTAGCACTCGTTCTTCCTTTTCAACACACGATTTCTCTTTTCATCAGTTTTTCTTGTACCAGAAGAAACGGATAAAAAACCAACAACTTGTATAATCTGAAAAATAAGCCTCTGTTACTCCGCTGAGGGAATCGAACGGGTGTCAGCTGCTGATATTATCAAGGTGGAAAGTGTAGGCCAAATGTCAAGGCAATTGAATATTCTAACAGGCTGCCTCATATTTTATTCTTTTAACTGCGCATCTGAAGGAGGCAATGTGATATGAATTAATCCGCTGCTTCTGGGTGTCACATAGCAAGAGCCCTGAGAATCAGTTGTCTGCTCAAGATGGTGTAACATTACAAAATACACAAGCATGAGAATGTGTGTATGTGTGACTGGTTGCAGGCTGTTTTATTTCAGCCTTATTCTGGTGTTGCTTAGGTTTGTCTGCTTACATAACAGCCAAGAAGCAAGGCTTGACTACTCTGCAGTCATTTTGTAACATACTCTAGGCACTTATTTGAGCACAGAGTTTCTTAAGTACCACTGTCTTTGTTCTCACACAGATTTCAATACAATACTGTAACAAGCCTGGCGTGTGAGTCCTTCTGCAGAATGACCAGGACTCAGTTACCTGTTGTGCGCAGAAGCAGCTTCCTGCAGGTCATGGAGGTAGCACGGAGGGGTTTGGTTGTCGTCTGCTTCTTCTGGAAGAGGATGGTGGTCAAGGCTGCTTCGAGACAACCCACGACTGCAATAAAGACAGATTTAGAGCATTCAGTGAAAAAGCAATCAACAAAAGAGTGTGCAATTGCATTTTGGGATGCTAGGGAAGGATATTAATATGTCAGCTCCAACTACCAAGTCTGAATCTGAACACTGTGTTGAAATACAATAGAAAAAAGCATGCATGCAACTAAGGTGTGCATCTGTGTAGAATTGTCATAACTCAGCCACACTGGTGGTTTTTTGAGCATGAAAGGTCATGCCAAAGCATCTCAATCAGATTTAAGTTCAGACTTTGACTAGGGCACTGTAAAACCTTAATTTGTCACCTCCATTCAGAATGCATTTGCTGGTGTGTTTCGAATTATTGTTCTGCTGCAGAATTCATATTTCCATCAATTATGCTTCATCTAGGTCCTGGGGCAGCAAAGCAGCCCCGGACCATCATACTACCACCACCATGTTTGAATGTTGCTGGCAGTTCTTTTTATGAAATGCTGAGTTAGTTTTACACCAGATAAAACAGGACATAAACCTTGTACAACATTCAACTTTTGTCTCATCAGTCCAAAGATTCTTTTCTCAAAAGTCTTCATGAAGGGATCACCAAGATGTTTTCTGGCAAACGAGATGAGGCTTTGTTTCTTTCTGGTCAGCAGTGGGTTTTGCCATTGAACTCTCCCCTGCATGCCATTTTTGCCCATTTTCTTTTTTTTGTTGTTGTTGCTGAATGATGAACACTGATCTTAATTGAGACATACGAGGCCTGCAGTTTTCCAAAAGCCTTAGAAATGGCTTTGTCACCATTTCCAGAATAAAAAAAAATCCAATGAATTTGTTTCTCAGCTGTTTTTGAGTTTATGTAGATTGTGGCTCAGTGTGTTGCTTTTTGAGATCTTTTGAGATCTTTTCACCCACTTACTTAAATTATTTCTTAATTCAACAGGTCTGGCAGTAATCAAGCCTGGGTGTGGCTAGTGAAATTGAACACAGCTTTCCAAACAATGTGGTTAATTTATGGCATAACAAAGGAGGGCAAATACTTTTTCACACAGGGGCAGGTAGGTTTGGATAGCTTCCCCCCCCATAAATGAAATCATTTAAAAACTGTATTTCACGTTTAGTTGAAATCTAAATCTTTGTTTAATATTTACTCATATTTGTCTATTTTTTCGCTGCACTGTAATATGACAAGATGACATGAAGAAAACAGACACCAGTGAAAACAGCTGGAGATTATGTGTTTTTTAAACATTACACTGTGATTACACTTGATTCCATTGTATCTGCCCATAGTGTTGGTTTTGTATCTCTTATTGACTCAATCTCATTAAATAAATGTCTACATTTCATTCTTATGGCTTGACAGCTTTCTCTGGAGAGAAAATAAATAGAGTGGGTGGTATGAAATAAAAATGTGACAATCAACTGAGCTGATTGCCATGTTCACATTGCATCTGTCTAAAATAGACCACGGGCAAGCTGGAATATCGCCACATCGATCAACACAAATAATCATTTTTACTCTTTCTGTCACTAGTGTAGGTTAACAGTCAATCATCAAACCCCCCTCCACTGAATAATAGCAGCATTCAATAACCGTTAGGGAAGGAAAAAAATAAAGAAATTATGTCAGCTACTCACATCTCGAGTTTGTGCGATACAGGTCTCCGGTTGTATCGTGAAATCATTCTCCTTTGCCTCCGTTTTATATGCTCAAACCCTCTCCTCTCCTCCTCGCCTCCACTTCCAGGACGCTCAGGGAACGGTTCAGATGGAGCTCTGACATTTCCTCTAATATTAGCCCGCAGATACTCTGGATAGAGACGCTGTTTCTTAACGGCTGCAGCTAAGCTACGTCCAAAAAAACTAAGCTAGCTACTGGTACGAGGGTGGCCAGATTATTAAAAAAGGCACAAATAGCATCATACAATTTCCACATTCCCTCATAAAATAATACTTGGTTTACTAAATGAGCATATTAGGTAGCCCAGAAGTTCACTATTAATTACGTTTCTCTCGCTATATATATATATGTATATATATACATACATATATATATATATATTTTTTTTAATGAGTGTTTAACGTTACTGGAGCAAGCTATCGCCAGCTCATAGGATATTCTTTGCTAAAGCTAGCATCACCACCAACAACAAAAATAACGCGGATGTCATGGATACGCAGCTTTGTTGCCCCGAGGGATCGCGGGAAATGTATTTCAGGCCAACTAAATGTTTCTAGAAAGCCAAAGGCTGCATACTTCAATTCCCAGCATTCATTGCAATAGCAAGTTGCGTTTATAAAATGTATTCGCCGGTCCTGTAATTTTAACTAAACGCAAGATGTGTATTCATCACATTTAGTGGAAAATTAGACTTATTATGTAATTTGCATTTATGTAAAGTAATGTAAAGTATTTTTTGAATCGGTAAAACCGCTACAGAAACAGAAGGTAGGAACTCTGTTTATTATCTGTTTGGCGAGGACGACTGGAATTCGTCGTAGGACCTAAACAGTTACAGATGGCGTGAAAGAAACGTATTTAGGAATAACCGTAATAAGAGCCGCTCCAGAATATACTAACACAACATAACCAATTTAAAAGGAAGACAAGACAAGGTAAGGCCGAATGAAGCTTTCAAGAGGTTGTCGTGACAATCACTAGTAAAACGTTGAGTTTATCTAGAAGCCTACGATTTCCTCTCTTTATTTCCATCTAAATTTAAAGTCATAATATAAAAGCAGACATTTCCGACCTTTCATATGTCTTTCCACATCGCTTTAGCGTCGTATGTTTTCATTAGGTCTTTTAAAACTGCTACTATGGAAGCTCTGCAGAGGAGAATGATTGAGGAGGACATGGTCCAGTACAAGCTCTTTTTGATCCAGCCAGGCAGCTCTTCTTCACAGCAGACTGAGGAACGTCTGACACATCTAGTAGAGGAGATTTTGGCAAAGGTTGCCCCTCTTCTGATACAGTACATCTGGCAGCATCAGCCAATCAACCTCAAGTATCACCCTGAGAAAGGTAGAGCTTTTTCAGCACCCCAGAAAGGAAGCAGCATGCTGTATGTCTTTACGTGGTTAACACTCGGTACACACACTAACGGCTGGCGTATATGGATCTCATTCACAGGAGGCATTCCTGCTCACATTGGTGGGAGCACTCAGTTTGGAGACAATGTTGAGGACGAGTGGTTTATCGTTTATCTCCTGCTGCAAATCACGGAGGCTTTCCCTGAGCTTGCAGCAAGGTAAGGGTGATCCTGATCATAGTTTCTAAATATGTATAAACTCAGAGCAGAGTTTGAACAAAATAATAAAACAAAAGTATCAATAAATAAATAAACACACCCTATTAAAATTCTCACCAGTCATTTATGTCTTTGTTTCCAAAATAATTGTTTATATGTGCAGAGTTGAGGATAATGATGGGGAGTTTCTTCTGATTGAAGCAGCAGATTACCTTCCTAAGTGGCTGAATCCAGACACAAGTGAAAACAGGGTGAGTTTTCCACATGACATGGCAGAGTTGACAGTACTGGAAGCACTGTATGTTTAAGCCCAAATAATTCACTGCCTCCCACAGCATACTACACAGTTATAAACTGATCCCCAGGCAAGCTTTAGTTTCATTTTAGACCTCCCTACTGATACGTTGAAATGCAATTCACAACACAAGGGTTGTATGTCAAAATATTTTTCATTTTAAATAAAAAAACAGGAATGTTAACTTTAATTAGTGCTTAAAATAGTTGTCTGTAAAGACTTTCTCATCGGTCAACTCTCAGAGCTTAAAGAAAAAGGCTTATTCCGTAATGAATGACTGGCAAGAGCCCTCCAGCTATTAAGGGCATCTACCTCCAACTGTACCTGCATACGGCCCACGACATCATCGAGAATCACAGCCATCTGGCACACCAACTAATCTGCTTGTTTCCCATTAAAGAACAGTCTTTCTTATCAACCAAGTGTTTGGTCAAGTGTTAATCTCATTGTCATCTTCAAGTTTGGACAGAAATGATCTGACACTTTACTGCAATGCAATGTGCATGCCAGGTTAAATAATCCCACTGGCACTACTGCGTACACTTGTCACTGCGCAATTTCTCATGTGTAGTAACGCTGCATACTGCACGCCTATAATTTTAAGAATGTGTATCCATTTATGACTTTTAAAAATTCTATTTCTGACTCTAATAGTATTTTAATTTTAAATTTAAATTGATTTAGTGTTGTTTATTTTATTTTTTTTTAAATCTTGTTAAATTTTTAGATGCTTGGCGACTTTTTTCCCTCATCTTGTTAAGCACATTTCATTGTAATGTTGACTCCGTGTTAAGCTCGACTTACAATGCACCCAATTGGATAGAATTACTTATCATCATGCTCATTTTTGTTTGTTTTCAATTTGACTTTTCCTGATTAAAGTTAATGCTTAAGTGGAATAAACCAAGCCTGGAATGAACAAGCTTGAAAGAAAACATGTAAAGACTTACCTGCACAGCCCTTTTAAATTTTGTTTACTTGACACTGCCAATTTTTTGCTAAGTGTAGGTTTTTTTTGAACCACTCCTTTTCTTTCTCAGGTCTTCCTATACAAGGGAGAGTTGCATATCCTTCCCTGCCCATCTAAATCCACTTCAGTGGGCTTTTCAAAAGATGTGGTACCCAGTGTGGCACAAGCTCTGGAGCTACTTTACACCCACCCAGAAGTCTGTCGGGCAAGCTCCAAGATTTCTTTAGCACTGAAGAAGAGACTAGAGGGGTAAGAGGGATTCCACATATAATCAATATTCAGTATTCAAAAGCAACATCATGATAAATACTACTGACAAAGTAACTCTGCATGTGTCAACTGGCACTCAGCCTATTTCAGTTACATAGTTTCCTTAGGGATAAATAGAGCATTCTGATTCTGTGGTTTCCAGCTGCATAGACAGGGAGAGCACTGGCTACATGATATTGGCTATTTAAAACATCAGAATACAGGGTGCTGAATCACTGTTGTGTACTAGAGGAATACAGTTTTGTAACATATTCTTTTTCTTTCCCCTCAGGTATCCAGGGAAGATTAAATCTGGCCTCCACCGTGCCCACTGCTTCATACCTGCAGGTATTGCCACTGTGTTGGCACAGCGACCAGACCTCATTGCACCTGCAGTTTCAGCATTCTACCTGCGGGATCCAGTAGATTTGCAGGCGTGTCGAACCTTCAAGACGTTTCCTCCTGATACACGAGTCCTCACTTTGGTAAATACATCCATGTATATCTGTACTTTTTAAAAGGTAATATCTTTGTTCAGAACTGTTCTGTGTTGTTTTATAAATGCTTATTTTATGTACAGGACTGTAATTAGTGATTTGTATTTATTTATTTTTTGGGAGGGCGTCTGTTTCCCCTAACCTTGAATAAATATTTTCAGGTGACGTTCACCCGGTGCCTGTATGCCCAGCTCCAGCAGCAACAGTTCACCCCAGACCGGAGGAGTGGTTTCACCTTACCTCCTCGTTCTCATTCCCAATACAAGGCTCATGAGCTTGGCTTGAAGCTGGTGATTCATTATCTATCTTTGTACTTCGTACTTTGTACTGCAGATAACAGGGTTGTTTTATTATGTAAAAGTCATAATCTTGTGCTCATGCTGTACTCCCAGGCCCACGGCTTTGAGATCCTGTGCTCTAGGTGCAGACTGCCTTCATCAGAGCCTAATGCCCCAGTCAGTTGTAACCCACAGTGGAAAGGCTTTATGGAGAGTTTGAGTAGGAATGGCTACTTCCATGTATGTCACTTTTTTTCATGCATGCACATGGCTAAAGTTGCAATACAGTCAGCATTTATCTTTGGAGCGCATTTTTAAAAAATGTGTTTGCACTGTTGTCAAATGCAGGGAGAACTGGAAGGTTCAGCACGTTACAGAGAACTTACAAGATCAGCAGAAAACTTCTTCAAACAGTCGGTTGCCTCAAAATCAAGGTAAAGACTTAAGCTGTTCACAGTGTGAATATGTATGCCAACGTCATCTAAGATATCTATTTGAATGAACCTTTTGTGTGTGTGTGTTGCCTCAGTGCTTTGTCCCCAGGTGAGGAGGTTCTCCAGCTGCTGCACAGCTGTGAACCATTCAACTTGGAGGAGATGAAGAAAAATGAGTCACAGCTCCCCCAAGAGGACAGTGAGTGAAAATCATGTCTAGAAACTGGCAAAATCTTATTTAAATAATGTGTGAGTGTAAATAATTGTCTTTCTTAATACTGAAAGACATTAGTCACATTTGCCAAGTGATCCATGAAGGCACAATGTGGGGATACTTAATTTAGACCTCAGTTAAGTGTAATTTTCCTAGCTAGGGTAAGAACACCTGTCTGTCTCTGGAAGATTTGTATGTTAGTTGTTAAGCATTGTAACTTTTATATGACCTTGCTAGAAAGTGAGCATTGCCTTTGTCTATCTCAGCCACCTAAGATTCTTTGCCTTGTGCCAGTTTCTTTCAGTGTCTGTCCTTTTGTTATGCTTCCCTCATTTTCTCCATTTTTTTCTTACGGACATTTCCCATAATTAGTTTTTCTCTTTGTCAACCTCCAGGTGATAGCTGGCTGGATATCACAGCTCAGGATTTGGAGCAGCTGTTGCAGGAGAGAAGTGGGGGTAGAGCTGATGTTGGCAGCCAAAACTCGAGTTCCACCAAACAGAAACAGCATGCCGGGGATGCAGAGGAGAGGGGAAAGGAGAAGGAGCACAACTTAGAGGAAGAGGAAGCTGGTTACAGCCTGGTAGCTATCAGTCAAGGGATGAAGAACTTTCTCAAGGCCATGTCTTCGCATGAAGGTGCAGAACTGCCCTGGTGAGACTAAGTGACTTTGTAATCTTGTTGATTTTTGTTCATATTTAGCCAAAAATCTATCAGATTTTAATATCCATATGGATGTAGTATGAGCATAGTTTTCCCTTAATGGTCTCCCTGAGCTGTAAATTGGTATGTGTATATTCTTGCAAGCCTAATTTATTTAGGCCTACATTGTCATACTGACAGTCTTTTTCCATTTCTATTCCAGGAGCAGTGCAACCCAGCCTTTTAATATTGATCCAGACTCAATGGCCAATGCACTGGGAAGACTACTTGGTATGTAATTTGCCAACAGTGAAATATGTGGTATGAACTTGATACAATTTTGTTTTTAAAATCATTAATGAATTTGTCTTTTTTTTTTCTTTCTTTCTAGGAGGCAAAGACGAAGAGCTGGATTCAGATGATCTTGATGATTCTGATAATGATGATGAGGAGGAGGAGGTAGAAGAGAAAGAAGATGGCTTCTGTGGTCAAGCAGAGATGAAAGGAACAGAAACTCTGGACAGTCTCAAAAGATATATGGACCAAATGGATGAGGAATTGATGAAGACTAATGTAGGACAAAGCTTCAAGCGAACGGTAAACTCTCGTAACACGCCTTCCTTTGCTAAGATAAAAACTATTCAAAAGATATGCGCAGAACACAGGTGTCACCCTAAACCTATCTTTATCGTATCTGCAGAATTACAACAAGGCAGGAGCAAGCGGCGACTCCTCTCACCCTTCTGCCAGAGATGATCTCCCAAGGGATAACAAACTGGAGGAGAAAGAGGAGGAGATCCAGCCCTTAGATGTGGATGTCAATTTGGTCACAAACTTGCTGGAGTCCCTCAGCTCCCAGGCTGGGCTGGCAGGACCAGCTTCCAATCTGCTGCAGAGCTTGGGCATACATCTACCACCCAACTCTGATCCCGCATAAAGGGCAGGAAGTAGAATCAAATAATTTATATGTGTCATTTGACCTAATGAGATGTGGGAAGTTAACAGCACAGGAAGGACCAGCAGCTAAATAAATAAACACCAGACACAGTGTGCTTGAGGGAAGCACTGAAATTACTTGTAACACAGATGAAGTTAATATTTAAAAAAAACCCTTAAATTCATCTGTTTGAAATTACAGTTAACTGAAAGTGAGATTTTGCAGCAAATGAGCATTTTTATCAGGTTAACTGTAAATTTTTAATACCTGTTGCTTTGTGTCATTGTTGCATGCACTTATGGTGGTTTTTGTTCTACTACAAAAAATATTTTTCTAAATAAAGCCATTTTTCATTCTTATTTTTTATTCAAATTGTCAGCATAATTCACATTTTCTTAGCATATTCAAGTGTAATTTTAAAAAATGATGCATATAAACATTTTCCAAAAAGCTCAAGAATGACGAGGAAGCAATTTGGCTTCTAATAAAAATGTAAAATACTCAATTACAACAAAAAGAACAGCAGCACTAGAGTGAGTGTTCAGCTCTTTCCACATGTGAACCCCCTTCTCATCTGGCATCTCTGCAGTCAGATTCATTCAAGGGCAACTTTGTCTGTCTCTGGTTAAGTATTAATTCAGTTAACTAAGCGGATTTAAATTGCTAACTTGTTTTATGATGTTAACTATCTGTGTCAACATTCTGTCATTGTCATCCCTTTTCCTCTGAAAGCTATCAGTGTCATACGAGGACTACTTCTAGGGATGTTCAGCACATCCGCTGATAAGAGCTCTCAGAAATTACTGTCATAAAATAGGAAACGATTCACATTTATTTTGTTTGTTTATTTGTACATAAGAGAAATTCAGCTTGTTGATAGTTGCTTAATACTTCAGCTTCATGTCTGAAAGAAAAATTGTAATGTTTGACCCCTGACGCTTAACTGTTTCATTAATAAATACCTAGCTTGTAAACTATTTTCCATTAGTGCCACTGATTTAGAAAGTGCGAGCAACAGCACTCATGTTGCTCACGCTGCAGAAAGTCACAAGTAGCTAGGGCATGTATCGTCTTAATAACATATTAAAAGAATAAGATAAAAACTTGTGATGACACATAATTACTAACCGTATATCGTTAGTGTGCCACCATAGCCTGCATTTTGTCTTTTATAACTTTGTAATGTGAGTGGATATTGACTGATAAGGGATGAATAAAGCTAGTATCTACAGGTATAACACTTTGGTTAGGGTCAGTGGAATGCAAGACGACCTACTAAATCTTTTAGTCCTTTACAGAAGCTGAAAAAATGGCTGAACTATGTACCTCGCTGAGTGGAGCAGTGCAGCAGCAAGGGGTGAGACACAAAGAGCCACTACACCGACCAGGAAGCTCAGCACCATTCCCAGCAGGAGAATAGCGAGCAGGTATCCATGGAAGAGCAGGCTGCGCCAGTTGGCCTGACTCAACACATGCCAGGGACGCTCTGGGTGCAGACACCACAGGAGGCCCAACACCCAGCTCTGGTTCACCAGCTGTGTATAGTAGATGTCAAAAACAGAGGCTTGGGAATCTGGAGGGTGGCTGCGCTCCATCTCAGACACTTTAGCAAGCCAAGTCAGAGACAGGCTGTGCAGGATTAAAGCCAGAGGTCCATATATATACTCCAGAGGCACAATACTTAAGAGACCCTCAGATGCTGCAGACAGACAGAAAGAGAAAACTAATTAGAGATTCATTTACTCTAATATGTGAAACCCTCATCTGATATCCAAACTTTTACCTGTGATGATCACAGAGGTCCCACTGATGATGAAAGTCAGAGCAGTGATGTGGCTTGCTGGTGGGGATGCCAGCCTCAAGGCAAAACTAAAGGCCACAGTCACCAGGGGCAGCAGAAGCACCATGAGGACGAAGAGGTTGGAAGATGAGCTGCTGGCTCTGGCCCACATGGTCAGCACTGCTTGAATGCTGCTACAGATAGCAGACGGCAGCATCCTCTCACCCAGGGACCTTGAATAACTCCTTAGATGCACCAGATCCAGGGCATGCAGGAGATTTAAGAATAAGAGAGACACCAGAACCTGAAAAGACAGAATATAAAAAAATAAACAATTATCTAACTTTAAAAAAGCCTACATGTGGTTATGTGAATCACTCATTTTTAATGATAGGAACTGGAGGGTCATGTGCCTGGCGGGACTGTCGATCGAGGACGCTGAAGATATCTACCTATTC